CTCTTTTTTTGAGGTTGGATCTCATACAGCTCAGGTTGGCCCTGAACTCACTTCCATTTTGACATCCTGAGTGCTGAGATCACAGGCCTTACATTCATGCCTGGCAGACTTTTTGATTTCTAATGTTTTTGTTCTTGGTTTTCTTTATTAAACTCTTGAAGAATCTTTGAAATGAAAATTTTAAAACCAACATAGAAACAGCCTTACTTTCAGAAAAAATGACCATTAATTGTTACCTCGCTGTTTGGCTTTCATTGAGTTTAGAGGTTAATAGTGAGCTACAAATTGAGCAGGCAAATGGTGCTTGATACTAGAGTTTGTAAGAACGGGATCTGGCATTTGGGTAGAGCATTTGCCTAGCCTGGGCAAGGCCCTGGGGCACATGTGCAGCAGCAGCAGCAGCAACAGCAGCAGCCTAACCCTAAACAAGGAAGGAAAACATTTTGAAAACATATTAATTACAAAGTCAACCTACTTTATAAGACATTGTAAAATATTTGATGTCACTGTTAAACATGCAAAAGCCAATGTGATCTTGGTGTATTTCTTATTGTTTATTAAGAATACAGCATTATCAGCTAATTATCTTTTTAGTCATATTTCTTTAAGTCAGACTTCACAACCAAACCGTTTCCCTCTACTTTAAGCCTCACAGCTGAGCTTGTGTTTGTTTTGTTATTCAAATGACCATCCCAAGGTTGTAGTGTTCTGTGGGCTTCGAGCCTGCTACTGATATACCCAGAATAAATGCTTGTCCTGGATGCAGCTAATATATTTTACCCTCCTTTTACAAAGGTAGTTTGTCACATAGTTTTTAACACACTTGAATATAACAAAACACTGGGCACTTATCTAGGAAACCACATTAATTTTATTTTTGAATTTCAGTATTGAGGGAAAAAAGTCATCTTTTATCTTTGTGTGTATCATCTTCGCATGAACCAGATAGTTTTAAATGCTGCCCACTTAAAAACTATAGTATTTGAAGAAAATTAATTCTTCAAAGAACTCTGTCCCCCAGGTGGCATCCATGTACACATTTTACACTGTGCATGACACCCGTTCGGAGCTGGAAGGAACTTTATATTGTGGTTCACACTTCCAGGATGTAAAGTCTAAGGCATCCTTTCTCCCCTAACCCCACCACCACCCTGTAATGGTGGTGGTTTGAGACAGAATCTCATGTAGCCCTGGCTGTGTAGCTGGGGATAACCCTGAACCTTGCCCTGCCTCCACCTCCCAAGTGCTGTGATTACAGGGGTGTACCGCCACACCCCACACCAGGCTTTTCCTTTCCCTTCTACAGCAGGAATTTAAAGCACCTCTTAATCTGACATAGTTTTCTTTTCTCTCTGTGTTCCTCTGTTCAGTCAGCTGCCACAGTCGGACAGACAGAAAGCTCCAGGAAACCTTAGAAGCAGATAATGACTGCCTCGGGTCTGTCAAATTGATACACAATCTGACGGAGTTTTGCTTTTAACTGTTAGTGTAGGAGTTTACCTAGTGGTTACTGGTGATTGTACCATTCATTATAGAAAAGGTGCTTATAGAACTAGTAAAGCAAGAGCCTGTTGATTCCATCAACCTGCCTCTGAACAAGACGAGGTAGCACCACACTGCTAAGTTCCTGTCCTAAGCAGGGAGCTAAAATGCCAGGGGGCTTTGGCTTTGAGGCATATGCCAACCTCGATGGAATATAAGACAGCTTTGTAGGAAGAGAGCAAGTGTCCAAGAAACCATGATCGCTTTCTCTAGCCAAAACTCTCCCCCACAGACCCTCTGATCTCATCAAAGCACACAAAAACAGCATCTTCAGATACATGTGCTCAGTGTGGTGAGCATAGTGGCTCATGCCTGTAATCTTAACACTCAGAAGGCTGAGCAAGGAGGAGCTCTGTGAAGTTGACGCTATCCTTGGCTACAGGATGATACCCTGTCTCAAAGAAATGAATACATTTTTAAGGCCAATAATAGCGGAAGTATCTTAAGTATTAATAGACTTTGGGACAAAGGGGCCGGTTAGGAAGTGCAAACACTGGGGGATGTTTCTTATTAGTTCGGTGGTTGAGATTCTTTTCCCTCTGTGTATCTCCCCATCTTACTGAACTGTCTCTGTTTATCTCCCTTCTTTCAGAGTGAACTGGAGGACCTGGAGTACATATATGACCTCTTCTCCGTCATTATCCACAGAGGCGGCTGCTACGGAGGGCATTACCATGTGTACATTAAGGATGTCGACCACCTGGGGAACTGGCAGTTTCAAGTAAGCTTACAAATTTGTTTGGAAGCAACTTTGCAGTTTCTTTGCATTTCTGTTACTATTACTGTATTTTGTTGATCTTTTTGCCTATCTTGTAGAAAACCTTGATTTGATAGGCCCTGAAAGTTAATATAGACATAGTTTAACTTTTTATTTCTAAGTAACTATATGTGCACAGAAAATTTACCAGGGTAATATAGACACTCCTGTGTGCTCTCTACCTAGATTCTCCAGTTGTCGACCTTTGCCACATTTGTGCACATGGCACAGACCTCTGCACACTAGTGACATCACTCTAGTGCTGAACCGTTTGAACCTAAATTGAGGACGTTGGGCCCCTTTGCTCCTAGCTGCTTCAGTTTCTTCTGAAAAGGACATTCTCTTACCTAGCCCCAAACCAGAACCCTTTTACCTTGTCTGTTACAGCCTCTGTTGAGTGTCGCCAGGCCTCACCCCAGTCTGAGAAGGTGCCAGTTGGCTTGGGTAGGGGGGGTCGGTCCACCTTCCTCAGTGGCCCCTGCCGTTCTGCCTTCAGACTGCAGCTTTTTCCCGTTGGCAGCATTTACCCTGAGCCTGTTATGCATGAACTATCCATGAGAAATTCTTTGAGGTCGTACGTGCATATTTTAAGAATAATGGTTCTTCTCTCTTCCTCTTGGGTCGCAAGCTTGAACTTCCCTTCGCAGTTTTGTGTTCCTCTCTTCAGAAGCAATGGCTCTTTGCGGGTGTGCCTGGCTCATCCACTCATGATCCTGAGGGAGCAGCAGGCACTTGTTTCTGTGCCTCCCACAGTAGGCAGGTCCTTCCTTTGTGCTCCCATCATTGCTTCCCTAGTGGCTTTGATTTTCTTCTTGTGTCTCACAGTCTTGCATTGTAGCCGAGGCTGGCCTGTAACTGACACTCCTCCTGCGTCTGCCCCCCTAGTGTTGGCACCAGTGCCCCCACCTCCGTCTGCTTCTCTGTTCTTGGCCTTCTGCCACCTTAGCAAGTCAGATGCTGGGCGCAGTGGCACACACCCTTAGTTCCAGCAGGTGGGAGAACTGGCATGAGTTTGGGGCCAGACTGGGATACGGAGGGTTCGGGGCCAGACTGGCCTATGGAGTAAGACCTATCTCAAGAAAAACAAAAGGAAGAGTCAGAATGCTGATTTCCATTTGTGCTTGGTGTATTTGCTCTTGCCTGGGATGGTCTGCAGATTTCTTATGGAGGTGTCGTTTGCTATTCATGGTGAGCCCCTTTCTCCTTTCCTGGTGGCACTGATGAGGTCATTCCTAGATGCTTCAGGGTGGAACCTTGTTGCCAGAGAAGCCAACTATATGACTAGAGTTAGAATTTACAACCCTGCCTTCCGACCTTGGAGGAGAAGGGACAGAGGCTGCGTTCAGTCACCTACACCAGTGATTCCATCAGCCATGCTCCACAGTGCATCTTCAATGGCAGATTCTTGAGAAGCAAGGCTTGGGGAGTTGCTAGGGTGGTGCATACATTCCTGTGCTGGATCAGCCCCTCCCACTGTGCACAGAGGCTCCTCTGCTCAGCTTGACACCTTGTTCCAAATTCCCCTTCATCTGGTCTACTGTCGATACCCTTTATCAACTGTAGTATAAATTCCTGAGTCCTACAAATTGTTTCAGGAAATTACGAAACTGAACTAAGGGGAACTCTAGAATTTCCATTTAGTCAGAGAAAAGCACAAGTAATCTGTAGATCCCATTTGCATTTGGTGTTTGAAGTGTGGGCCAGTTTTAGAAGACTGACTCCTTAATTGGTGGTATTTGTGCAATGACAAGTTAGTGGGCAGGATTGTGTGGAAATGAGGCACACTTAGTAGATGTCACAGAATTGGAGAATTGGTTGTTGTTTGAAACCCCAGTCAGTCCCCTCTCTTTGAATCGGCCGAAGCTTTCCTGAAGCCCTTTCCATCAGCTTCAGGCCTTAGTTACTTTTCTGGTGCTGTGATAATGTACCCTGACAAGATCAGCCCAAGGGAGAATGGTTTATGTTGGACCTGTTCCATGGTGTAATGGGGTCAGGTCACAGTCTCCTTTTTATACAATCAAAGCTCCCAACTCAGGAAACAGTGCCTCCCACAGTAGGCAGGTCCTTCTACTGACCCCGCAGTAACCTAATCAAGATAATCCCCACGGGCACAAAGAGCCCTGTCTTCCAAGTGATTCTCAATTTTGCCAGGTTGACGAACATTATCACTTTGGTGTATTTTCTTGTGACAAACTTACTATTTTTGTATGCTAACTTTAAAAAATCAGTTAAAAAAAGAAAAAGATGTCTGTTTTATTTTTACTTTAGCATTTTTAATGATTTTACAGAAGAATGATTGGATCTGCTGTTTTTTTTGACAATTTTCATCTTATGTTATCAATTTACACTCATGGTTTTAAGCCCATTTACAAATACTTTGCAAAGCTGTTGGTATACACTTTTAATCCCAGCATAACGGATCTCTGTGAGATAGAGGCCAGCCTGGTCTACATAGTGAGATCCAGGCTAGCTGGGACTACAGGGAGACCCTGTCTCAAAAAAGTTAAAAAGATCTCCGAAATGCAGGCCTCTCTCTGGGGTAAGTCAGTTGTGCCCTCTGTGCCTTGACTCCCCCAGCCTCATTCACCCTCCCATCTCCCCCACAGGGCTCTCCTCCTAGCCTGGGTCTAGTCCTATTCCTTGTCTTGGTGCCCAGACACCTGGGGAACCATCACTGCTACCTGATCCTTTGCATCCAGACCAACCCAGTTCCTTCTTGGGTCCCCAGAAGCACTCTGGGCCTGGCCCCGCCCTCACCTCCCTGCTTCCCTGGGCTGCACAACCCTCCAGGGTCTTTCATGGAAGCCGGGACTGACCTTTCTGCTTCCTGATCCAGACCAGCCCAGCTCCTCAGTGCAGTCCCCAGGAGCCCTTGCGGCCTCTTCCTGCCCCCATCTCCCTTTGCATCTCTGGGTGGCATGGCCACCAGCTGCCCTGGACCAGCATCTTTCCTGGGCTCTGCTCTCAGGCCAGTCCAACCCCCAAATTCCTGAGGCCAAATCTTTCCTGTAGGGATCCAGACCATTGGATAAAGCCTGAGAGCATCTGATCCTCATCTGAATTGGGCCTCTGTGGGAAC